GTCTCATTCACCTCGGCCGTGAATGAAACTACGGGCCAGACTCCAACCTGCCTGATGTTAGGTCGTGAAGTTCGTTTGCCCTGCGACCTAGAGTTTGGCTGCAGACCTTCTGAAGAACATGTTGCAAGCGAAGATTATGTCGACCGCCTAAAGTTAAGAATGAACAACATTCATGAACTTGCCCGACAACACATCCAGTTAGCAAGTGGGTGATCTTGTTTGGCTTTATAATCCACAACGTCGTCGTGGCTTGTCTCCTAAACTGCAAAGACAATGGGAGGGTCCGTATGAAATTAAAAAGAGAATAAATGACGTAATATACCGAATTAGGAAGTTGCCGAAAGGTAAACCTAAAGTAGTTCACATAAATCGTCTTGCACCTTATGCTGGCTCAAATGAAACCGAAGAAGTCCGAACCCTTCAAAATAAGATCAAAGATGATCGGCGATCAAGCTTTAAGGAGTTTATGTCAAATTACACAGAGAGAAAGAGTGCTAGATTCAGCGTGACGACAGAAGTTCAGCAGGATCTTTTTAGTGTTCCGCATAACGTCTCTCTAGCCCACTGTGTTGCCCAAGATCTTGAGATGACTAAAGGAATCTCATCTGTATTTTATAAGAAGTTCGGTCGTTTGGACGAGCTAAAAAACCAACAGCCTAAAGTTGGAAGAGTATTGAGATTAGAAGATGGTTCTCGATCTTTGCTGTATATGGTGACCAGGAAGTCGTATACAGCTAGGGCAACCTACGAGGATATATGGTGTGCTCTAACTAATTTGAAGAAAATCGTCTGCAATTACGACATTAAGAATTTGGCCTTACCCAAGATAGGCCATGATAATCTGGATTGGAAGATTGTCAGAAGCATGCTAGAAGTGATCTTCCGAGAAACCGGTGTAAGAATTACCGTGTGTTGCATTAATCCAAAGAGATTGTGTCCTTCAAAGACAGTAGACTGTTATTTCTTTCTGAGGGGTTCATGCAGAGCTGGAGAGTCCTGTAGATTCCGCCATCCTGGGCCTACATATATAGTTGCTGATCGGGACGCTCAGATCTAAGAGGGGAGCAGTGTTACGAACACGTAGCGTGTCTCCGTATAGCGGCTGCATCTCGAAAGCGACTCGATGCTTCCAGAAACATCTGTCACGTACGCCTAGAGGTGGGAACTTTCTAGAGAATAGTAACTTTGGTATATATATGTAACGATCTTAGGAGTTAGTTTAGTTGATAAGACAATACCGAACTGTAAAGTTATAAATAAATATAGTTATATAAATTCGAACCGCTCGTTTTATTTAAAAACGGTACAATAGTTTATAACAATAACGAGAATTGACAAAACAAGTGATACAACTAACCTAACAGCAAAAACTTTGCTTCTTCATTACGTTTTTAATTACTATTAAACTGGGAATAAGCCACAATTAAAGATAAAAATACGTTTATTGACGTTTCAATTTCCACTTCGGAAATCGTTCTTTTCGGAAAGAGAACGATTTCCGAAGTGGAAATTGAAACGTCAATAAACGTATTTTTATCTTTAATTGTGGCTTATTCCCAGTTTAATAGTAATTAATTTACAATGCCACAAGAAAATAGCTTCAGAACATCATTACGTTTTATCGTGAATATGGTTGTGGCTAGGCCTACAGTAGGTACATTTGAAAATTTGAATTAAATAATAGGTCAAAGTTACTCGTTCGCTTTGGCAACGCTGGGTAAAATGTAGTAGACTCGCTGAATCATAATGAATAGGGTTTTTTAGCACCATGTGAGCGATGACCGATAGAGTACTCACACCGATGAGTTGTCGTGCACGAGCACTCTCACGAGTTGCAGAATACGGACCCTGCACTTTAACTCCCTAATGTCTATAGTTTTTATGGTCAGTATTCATAGTTCCGTATATTCTAGATCATTAATAAACGTTTATATTATTTATTGTGACGTATATACTGGACAAACACAACAGAACAAAAGCAGTAAATTGAATACAATAGTTTTTACATAACGTTTAATGTTTTTTAATTATTTATGTATTAACACGAACTACATATGCAAATAGGTCGGAACATTGGAAATACCACAACACTGGAAAACAGCAAACAATTGTTATTGTTGATTGTTGCCAAGTATAGAAGAAGTATACTTTTACTTTGCTAAAGTAGAAGCGACAGTTAGAGAACGGCCGTTAGAGAGTATGTCCCGAGCAGCACTTCAGGACCGGATGTAAGAATCTTAGCACTGGAATATACGCGCACACAACAATAATTGCTTACGGTTGTATAGAAGACTATCATTATTGTTTCAACTAAACTATGATCCAATCATGGACGTATAAATAAGAGAGTTATATTGTTTAACTAAACGATAACATGAAAAAAATACTATAAAAAAATAAAAATATATCAAAAACTCATTGTCGATAGCTTATCTATATTCATCAATTTTCAATAGCTTCAATTGTAAACACATTCTTGGGGAATAAATGTCATTAAAAAGTCATTAAGAGAAGTGAATCAGTTTTAATCCCCATTGTCCACGCAAAGCAAACATGTCTCTTTGTCGATTTGGATACTGGACATTGGACCAAAAACTTGTTGGCACAAACTTTGAAAGCTCAGTTCTATTTCATTTTCGAAAGCAAGTGGAAGTACCTATATCATGGAGCCGTTGCTAGTCTCCGTCGTGAATTTCGAACAGGGTATGACTCTTAATGTGCAAGTAAAACGTGTGTTCTCCAGTTTTTCGTAGAACTCCTCGATTTTTATGTCATCTGATGTGCTGGTTGGCGCGTAAATTTGTATGATATAAAGTTTATGTGGTTTGCCATTCAGTTTAATAAGTACTATCCCATCGTTCGCAGCTTTAAATTCGACAACTGACTTTTGTAATCTTGGTGAGACCAGAATGGCAACACCTGTATAGTTCTGGGTCTCACCGCCAGAGAAGTAAATATAATTGCCATTGTCTGTTCTAAAATGACCCTCTCCTAACCAATGAGTTTCAGCTAGTCCAGAGATTTCTATATTGTATCTTGCTAGCTCGTTTTCAATAATTGCTAGCTTACCTGTGATCGTTTTTAGCCCTTGTATATTCCATGTACCGACCTTCAATAGCTGCCTGAGTTTTACTTTATCTTTTTGTAGACCAGTTTTTCAATTACAGTTCTATCTAAACAAACAATTGTTTTATTTCACTTTATATCTATATAGGCCAGATTAAAGCACCTTTAAAAGTCCATCTAAGTTTCTTTACTGAGCTGTCGAAGGCTAGCGGACCAATTGGACTTACAGCAAGTACAAAACCGCTGAAAGAGACACTGTTAGCATACAAGACTCTTCATGGAAGGGATGTTGAAAACCGACGTCCCTCCACTTCCATGTAAATCCCAAATCTTTCACAATTCTGCAGAGAGAACTCACACTTCTAGTCCACTCGTACACCTCTTCAATCCTTTTCTGCAAAAGCTTCAATGATACACAACATCAGTCTCATGAAAACGATGAATGGTATTTCTAATGAACTGTTTGTCATACTCCCTATGTATGTCACGGTTGCTTTCTTTTTGTAAGTGTTGTAGCTGGAAATTTTAGTGTATTGTTTGACTCTGCGTTTATTAACATATTCGCTTGTTGAATGATCCTTTCTACTGCGTAAAGATACTCCAGTATCAGTATTCACCCACACGTTGTTTATTACTGGTTCGGTTATCTTCAGGAAATAGTATTTGCATATATTTAAATACACTGTAAACTATTCCTTTGCATTCTGGTATCTATCTGATCTGTTTACTCGTACTACACTTAACCATCTCCATTCTACAAAATAGTTTAGATACGCGTGGTAGCACCTTTCTTGTTGAGACTTGACAACATAATGAGGCTAAATTACGAACTTGTTTGAAATCCAGAGACTAGAAATTCTCGGAAATAATTCTTATCGTAATTATAAATTCTTATAGTAATTCTTATAGTAATTATAAAGTCATTAATAATGACTTAATTTGTTTAATCTTGCAACGCCACTGCAAGGGTCTGATAATAGATATTCTATGGACCACAGGAGTGATGACGTAGATTTTATTGACATACGTCAGTTTCACTTTCCAAACAAACCTGGTTTAGTGTGGATAATTTGTATTTTTCGTTATTTTTTCATTTATTTTATAGAATCTTTCCGCTTATTGCAATATTTAAGTATTCTAATAGTTACTACAACAATTTTACAAGGTTGTGTAAATAATAAAGCACATTGTTTTATGCTAATAGCAATAAAATGCATGTATCAATAAAGTAAGCTTACAATTTCTTTATTTAAACTTTTAAACTATATTTCATAGAAATAGAACTCTGAATTATGATGGTATTATCGTAAAAAACACTATGCTTACAAGAAAAAGCAGCAGAGGAAGCAAAATGTTAACTTTATAGAAATTAAAAAGTGACGACAGTCGTGAGTCACACTCCTGCGGTCCATTGTCTGCGCGATTAACTATTTCGTGGAAGGGCTCGCCACTCGATTTGAAATAAGCTGTAGTACATACTATTTTACAAAATATTTTTAATATGCAGGAAATGTACCTGTATAGTTTTATTACAGTTCAGTATTTATTATAAACAAAATACTCCTAGTATATTTGACGTTTGATAAATTCGGAAGAACCCAGAATAAAATATTTTAATATGACATTTTCCGTATATTTTATGTTTTTATGTTGACTGACTGAAAGGGAAGTCAATTGTAATATAAACAAATAAAACGTCCTGTATATTATTTTTATATTAAATTAAACATTTTCGTGCGATTAACAAATAATATGTGATTTGATATCTTTAACTTCAAGGCCGAATAAGATTAAAAATGACTGAACGTAGCCATTAAAAATTGATAACCAAAAATTAATTTATGCAAAAAATACAATGTGAACACTATTAAGAAAAAAATGAAAATTAAAGCAAAAAAAGTACTTAATATTAAATATAATTGTTAAAATCTTACCTTTCGATTTTAGTACCATGATTGATTAGCCACAAATCGCACATAGATCGGGATACTAAACTTACGGCAATTAAGAAGAATAACCCACTTTCTTGACTGGTCCATCCCGGGCATGCTATTCCAAATAGCTGCGATAATTGTGAGAAGAATTTCTTGTCTACTTGTGCTTTGATTTTAGTTTCTCCTTTGTCCGATATTAAATATTTTACTTCTTCTTCTACCGCTTTTTGTACTTTTTTTCTGAAATAAAAAGAATACTTTAGACCAATGGTCCCCAATATAACGGCCACATAATGATACCAGTGATACAGTAGTGGCGCTACAAAAATCTATAAAGAAATATGGAGACAGAAATGACCCCATAGTGATGGAATAATGAGAGACTTTAAACAGTACTCAAGAAGAGACATATATTCGAATGAAATTGTAGCATTTCTATTTCTTTTCGTGTGTATTAGAACACCGAAAAATATTTTCAATCTTTTTGCGCCACTGATATTGATAATATAAACATTTTAAGTTTGTTTATATAACACAGATGCGTATTCCTTTGGTATTTTTTTGATCGTGATGCCGCTTAATACTGCGCGTCAAATAAATATCCACGTAGGTTGGTGAGAAAGTATTGCAGGGAAGAGAATTAGATCTCTCGACGATAGATTACGGAAGCAGTGTTATTGTTTGAGTCCGGATTTTTCTTCAAATTCTTTGTTTTTTTGTTGTTCGTTATTCGTTTTTGTTATGGAAAAATATGTGGATAGTGGCAGTGTGGAGGTTAAGTGAAAGTCAAGTTTGAAAGGAGATTCCGAAGAAATAGCTTGTGAGTGTAGTCTTTAAAGCCAGCAAATTTTTTTAATTTGAAAGGTTAATTTTTACTCAAAATGCGATCTGGAAGTTTTTTGTTGAGTTAATCACCGATTTGTTCATGACGTGTTTTATCTAAGAAATTTGTAAGACGGCGTTTCCAATGTTTTGAGAGGTCCACATGGTTTTGGGAGGAAATTGAGTGGCCCAGTTTTGAAGATTGCAGTTTTTTGTCATCCAGAATAATCCGAAGCCCGAATCCAGTGTCCAACTTCCAAAGAATTGTCTATGTGTGTTCCCTGGTCATTTCAGACCAATTTGCAGCTTGAGTGGAACACAGTTGTGATTGTTTGCAGTGTTTTAATTCAGTCCCAATCCCAAAAACTTTCTTAAAGGAAATACATCAGCCAGAGTGATATACGGTACTTTTTGTTAAACATTTTTCATTAATAAAAAAAAATTTGCTTTTATGGCAAACTAAAAAATTGTAATAAATAAAATTATAAGTTTTATGGATTAGCTACTTGTCCTATTAGTTTTCTTTTAAATAAAGTTAACTGTTATAATTAAAATTAATGTTTCAAAAAGGTTTAATATTTCATTTCGACATATGATAGTTAAACTTTGAAAAATGAAAGGAAAATATCCAGCACAATTTTAACAATTAAATCTTGTCCAAGTACTTTCGCTTACTACAGCATCATCAGGGGCATTTCGTCAAAATTTGGGCTATCCAGCAAGCGTAGAATGACAGGATTCTCTCTCCTGTCGCTGACAAAGAATGTAGAACGTAGAACCATTTTAATTGATTTTAAACTGTTTGTCCTTGTTTTAGTGTAGAGTGTACAATTTTATGCTAAAATTCATGTTTATCACATTCTACGCTTGCTGGATAGCCCAAATTTTACGAAATGCCCCTGATGATGCTGTAGTAAGCGAAAGTACTTGGGCAAGATTTAATTGTTAAAATTGTGCTCCATATTTGCCTTTCATTTTTCATTTATTCGAGTATTCAACCTTATATTAATATGATAGTTAGTATTATCCATTTCGGACATTTGGTACATAACCATAAATTACAATTGTTTTGTTTTAAGTTTAACCTAAATGTAAGCTCCGTTGAAAAATCTAGATATTTTCATTTTAATAATAATTTAAATTCCTATAGTGTCCCCAACGTCTGGAACTTGCTGTAAATCGTTACAAATTGCGCCATTGTAAGTTTTGTTTTTAAATTTGTTAATATTATTTGCAATAACTGTTGATGTGAAGTAATAATAAATATGTAATGTTTCTGTCCAAAGCAGCAGTTGGAGAATTATTTCCTTTAAAAAGATTTTCAACTTTTAATATTTTTTTTTTTAGGAAAGAAAAGCCCTTCTTTCTACCCAGCGAGAAGATTCTTGTAAACGGCTTCCTTTTCAAATAGTTAAGGAACCTTCTTATGTTGTGTAGCCCAGGAAATCTATGTAAGTATTTTTTTTTATTTCTTTCTTTGTAGTTACCCCCTCCAGTCCCTCTTTTATTCACTTACTTACGACCCAGCTCTCCAACCAAACCAAGAGTTGCCGTTCGCAAACGTTTCGGTTTATTAGCTTGCCCTATCTCCAGCCCAGTAATTGCTCAGTCCCACTTTCAACCCCCTATAAGTGATACCCAATGTGGTAGACAAATTAATACCGGTACAATATAACCACATATGAAATACCGCATGGCACAACACATAGAAAGAATAATTTAATCGTCTTCGTCTTCGTCTTCGTCCTATTTAAGGCTTGGAATATTTTAATCTGTTGTACAACTTTCATAACAAATAAGTTAATTTTGGAGAGTCGCTGAACTCTTTGCGTTAAGTCGTTTTATGAAATCGACCTACGTATAAAACCAACGTAATTCTAGTTTGGCAATTTATTTGTTAGGAAAGCTCGAGTTTTGTAGTATATTTTTTACCGATCACCAAAATTGCAGCCAATTTTTTAGGATCAACAACATTATCAAAATTTTTAAAATAATAAACTTTTTGAATGAAAGGGCCGGTCTTTTCACCTCCAGATAAATATTAACTTGACGGTGTGTACTCCAGGATACGTTATTTATTAAAATGTACTTCCTCTACATAAACTTTTAAGTTTTCCGCGAGCTTTTAAACGCACCCTCCCCCTGTAGCATTCGGCTAACCAATAAATTAATTTGAATGTCATACACACAGTTTTGCCACAATCATAGAATGTTTTGTATAGACCTGCTCAAAAATGACTTCCAAAGAAATTGCTAATTTGTGTCATTCGGTAAGTAAATTAATTTTTTATATGTTATTAGTTATTGTATTTATTGGTAAACTATAATTATAGTTAATTGGGTCTTCAGCAAGTAATTGTATAAAATAATATTCATGATTTGTCTATAAACAAACAGATAGGATCACTTTGAAAAGTAGTATCTCCGAAGACACATTGCCAGTTAAGCGACAATTTAGTTAGTATCCTGGGGTATACATTGGTAGGTACTGACGAAAATGGAATAAGTATCTTTTTGGATACATCACCCGGTATACGGACAAATACTAATTGTATCTTATTAGATACTTTACCCATTAGAGGATTAACAGAAAAGTAATAAAAACATTTGGTATATTATGCTTGTAATGATTTGTTGTATAATTGTTGTATAATTCCAAATGGACTTGTACAGTGAATAAGACAATAGAATAGAAATATTTAGAAAATATATTTCTCCGTTAGTTCTTAAGAATTTGTAGAAACCGATTAGCATGTTAATAGTTTTTAGGAAATATATAATTGTAGGTAAAAGTTTTGTTTGTATATAAAAAGGTGGGATAGGTAGGTAAGGATGAGAGTTTAGCTAGATCTTTTAGGAAAAAAAGATAAGCAGTTGGTTTCCAAGGGTAGAAGGCGAACAGTCGTTGATCTCTGGTGGTTCCCCAGAGGTAGTAAACAGTAGAAGTTAATGTTTGTGAGTTTTCGTGGAGTAAGTGTATCTGACAGAAGCTGATCCATTAAAATATTGTAAGTTATATTTTCTACTTATATTCCAAGAGTCACTGTTCAGGCCAGAACGAGAGTTTCAGTTTAACGAGAGGAGAAGAGGCTAGCATAATTTGAACGATATGTGCATTTGAAGGAGACCATTAAAGACGATAGGCTTGCAACAATTTGTTGTAAGATTGTTGATTACCTAGGGGACTGCTAAGAATAGATAGTGTAGGCTACAAGGAACAAGGATTTGGACAACTCATCATCACAGAGATAGTGTTACTATTCGTCAGTTTTTCTTTATTAACAACACATTTTTTTACAATTGCTTTGGAAAAAATAGGAATATTTTGATCATGAGATTTAGAACAACAATTTTGATTTGAGATTTTAATTTATATTGTATGTACCATTAATTTTTGAAGGTTCACGTACGTAGAACAAAATTTTGATAATCATTATATGGATATTTTTATTGAAGATATTTGATTATGAATTTTATTTCAATATATTTTTATTTCAATATATAATGTTGTATCATATATGTTTTTTATTATTCCGGTATTCTTTGGACCTTACCTATCATATGTAAAGCATAGATATTGAAGCACGAATATAACCCTGAGATAAGAGAATTAAATAGTGTGATAGAATCGTGTGAAATAATTGCATCATTTCAAATGTAATAGCTAATTAATTGCTTGGAGCACTTCAGACTTTTAATATCACCTTAATATATATATATATATATATATATATATATATATATATATATATATATATATATATATATATATGTTTTTGATGGGTTGGAGTCAATAAAAGGGGCTTTCTCATCCAGATTATCTACAAGACGATCTTCATTACTTTATACTTTAATTTTTTTATACTTTTATTTTATTTTTTATTAAATTTAAGCTGTAAAAATAAATGTTTGATCATCTTTGTAGTTTATTTCTAATTTTTAAATGATTGATATTAATTGATCCAATATTATGTTTATGGTTTAAACCCCTACTTTATGGTATCTGTTCATAATAAATTAAAGTAAAACACAGTACCACAAAATGTAATGAAAACATTAAACAAATCTACAATTGTTTTGCTAAAAGACTTGAAAATGCTAAAGACTTTTAATGAAACAATTGTAGATTTGTTTAATGTTTTTTATTATATTGTTACGATAATTATGGCGTTTATAACTATCAATATATTATGACTAATTCTGTTTTCCGTTCCAGTAAATTCGAAATTGTTTACAGAAACCGTTAGACCCTAATTTTATGAGTAATCCACGTCTCGAGGCTTTTCGAACAGTTGAAAAAACGAGTCGAGCGCCTTCACCAAAATACGAGATTATTCAAGAAGTTCGCCGAACTTTCCAGATGACAACAGTTGTGTATATAAAGGAAAGATTTTTTATTTGGCGGATAGTCATAAGAA